CGTGCGTGGGGCGGAGTGGGCGCAAAGGGGTGGGGACGGATAGGGGTGAGGCGAGCAGGACGGGACGGGGGCGGGCGGGGCGGTGGGGCAATAGCAAAGTGGAGGTGGAGCGGGTGGGAATGCGATGGGTCGGGGGGAGGGGGGGATGCAACGCCGGCACATCAACGGGCGAAGGCTGCCGTTCTTTCGCTGCTTTCCGGGCCTGCTAATGTCGCGAGCAGAATTTGCTTTTTTGCGCCGTAAAGGTTAGCTGCTCGCCGGTGAGGCGCGGGGCGCGCTACTTCAAATCTCTGTTCCGTAAAATGCGAGACCTCTCTTACGGTTATCTCGCCATCGCTACGAAAATACGATCTCGTTACGATTTTCTTCCCAGCATTGCCGCCGTATTTTACGTGTTATTTTTCCCAACAACGCGGTACTTAAAAAAGGGTAGATATGAAAGTATTTTTAAGCTGACACTTATATTTATTCTGGTGATATACAATGCGCTTATCTGTTCATAATTTACATCATATAAAGCTTATTCACATCTAAAAAATATATTTCAACTCAAATGATATTTCTCGTTATGTCATCACAAATAATCATGGGGAATTCTTCTCTTATTACCGTCATATTGTAAACACTGACACAAATACATTAATTACACTAAAATCACATCACAACAATTTATCAACAAGCGTATATATGATAAGGCAGTGTAACTAACAGAAGGAAACATGTCTCTGAAAACATTAAGAAATACAATACATAAGTTGTCATTACAAAACATCACTAGGTTTCGCATGAGCCTGAGGGAAGTTTTAATTTTTTTCAAGCTCTTTGCAAGTTGACATGCGACTGTATATTAGATAAAAAATTCAACAAAAAAATTTGAGGTTTTATATTTTGGCAAACTTATTCCTCTTACAATAGTTTGGCAGTGGTCAAATTTCGAATCATTCTGAGATCTGTATTTCTTATTTGAGATTCATAAGAAGAATTTAACGGAAATATGTAAATATATTAGACTTGAAAATTAAAATACCTTTTCACATGACTGAATTACACTTCATTCAAAATTTATTTTTTTTCTTTCGTAAATTTGAATCTTATAGCTATCTGAAGACATATATTACAATTATTATTAACAAAATAAGACAGAATTCCATTTATGTTGTCTTTACACTATCCATATGGTGCATCTACATAATCTCTAATTTTTAATTTCAGATAACTCAGTTTTATATAGATATATTATAATTTTATTGGCATTTCCTCCGTTACCGTTTTACTGAGTAGAAATCTCAGGGAAGCTCCGGAAAATGTAATATAAAATGAGATAAAAATATTTCTCGTGATGTTATGATATATTGACATTATATTGTTACAAACATTTTAGCAACTACTTTCGCTAGATTTGGAGGCTGCTGTGGAGGATGTTTGGGCAAGAGATTTGTTTACGAAGTCTAACGAGTTGATAATTTTTTCGTGGAATGCTTCTAAGCGCTCCAGCTTTTCGTTCACTTGACCGAACATCATCTTGATATGCTCGATGTCTGAACGTTGTCGCCTCTTTGTGATGATGTTGGTGGCGCTTTTGATTATAGTTTCATTCATGCGAAACTTTTTGAAGCGGTTCGTTGTATCGATGTCCATGTAGAATTTAATCTTTCCCCGCTCGTTAGGAAAAACTTGTATCTGTTTTCGATGACAGCACACATTTTCCTGAAAAATGAGACAAGTATTGTTAATGAATGAATAGAGCAATCTGATACACCAGTGCCTTTTTGAAGCTAAAATTCTGTGAAATGGTAATTACTTTGAAATACGAGAGCCAGTATTGCTTATTAATCATTCTATGGCAAAGTTTTTAAAAAAGCGATGTAACAAGTTTTACATTTCTTTCTAATGAAAGGAAACAATACCTCTTTAAATGGACGCGAGGGGAAACTAAAAAACAAATATTATAAAAGAACTTAATATTTGTTTAAATTGAACAAATAGTTCATAAAAAACTAATGCTTTATTTTGCAAAATTCAAAGCAAAGTAATGAGTACCCTTGGATAAGATGGTAAAAAGATCCCTGAAACCAAATTGATATTTTTTAACTTTAAAACTATTTTATGTAATTGGAAAAAAATAAAATAAGAAAATTATCTATACTATCAGAATTTCTTTCTATTTTTGTATACCACTATATTGAAACGTAATATTTTTGGAAAAAACAAACAAAACAGGCCAGGTACTCTGCGAGAGATTAAAATGCACAAAAAAATCAAATAGTCCCTTTAGTTCTATCGTGAAAGACGTACTCCGATTTAAATGTAGTGGGAGTTCAACATTACGAGCGCATCGGAGAGGGGGACACTGACATCCAATCGGGAGCTTCGTAACGGCTTAAAGTTTTGATATTAGAGCTTTCGATTATATGAGATTGTCCCTCTCTCTTTCTAGCTCGTGAAGTTGAAATGCCACCACGTTTACATCATAGTATAATTTCGATTTTTTCCCCTTCAATTTAAATGTACATTTTGACTTTTAATGAAGTTTTTCGAAAACTCAAACATTTTCTGTGAAAACGCTTCAAATTTCGAATTTACAGTAGGGTTTAAACGCCATTTTCTTAAAAACGGCTCTAAATGTTTCACAAAAAATTGCTATTAATGGCGAGGTTTTACTGTTTTTTTTAATATTTTAAAAATAATATTCCCTTAGTACTATTAGTAAACGGAAAAATTAAGAAAATGTTTATAAATATGTATTATATATTTATGGAGAGAGGGATGGCAGTTGACAGGAGTACGTGGCAAGTTCGTATATCTAGCCGTGACCAAAGGAAATAGAAAACTAAGATGGGAAAGTCTCTGCCATTCTGTAACACCTCTAGTTTCTTCTAAACTCTGTTCGATGAAAGACTGGGATGTAATTTTCTATCCACCAGTGGCACACTTACAGGGTTTTGTGTCGATGTTTCTTATAAACTGCCAAAAACTATCATCTTTCTTTATCATATAGCATCATCTACCATATCATCTTGCGTATGTTATACATATGATTATATAACTTTAAAAGCACAATAATTGTATTGGCGAAAACCAGAACGGTGTACTTGACATTTTATGAATTCTAAGAAAAAAGTTTTTATTATAGGCTATATTCAGTGGCAATGTATTTTCGTAGTTTTAATGAACAATTGAAATGCCGTAGTTTTAATAGCGGAATAAAGCACTATGACTTTGCAGTGGCATTGCCTTAAATAAACATATTTCTCACAATTTATAAAATGTCACTTAAAGCGTTCTGGTTTTCACCCATTTTATTTGTAACTATATTCCAAAGTCAAAATATTGCTGGGTGCTACTACAATGCATACAACGTGTAATAAACACTAAAATAAATGCACAGAACTGTTGCAGTGGTTTTCAAAGTGTATTTGAATTCAAATTGAAAGGTGGGGAAAAGGTAAACGATTTCTATTTTTTAACTACAACTGAGCAGTTGAAAAAATCTTTAAAAAAATCAACTTCCTTTCAGAGGAATTTTAATATTTGTTCTAGTCTCTTTCAGTATTCTAAGACATAGTAAAAATTATTTTTGGTTTTATTTGAAAAATATTTTTTGCGTTTGATTTTGGCCCTGAGAAAATATAAAAAATAATTCTGATAATATAAATTATTTTTCACATTTTTTTCAATTATATAAAATAGTATTAAGTTGATAAAATAAATTAAAAGTAAAGAAATACGTTTTTGGCTGAAGAGAGGTGCCGGTAGGGGAAACTGAGGCTAAACAACGTGTCAAAAATCTTATTTGTATTTTAGGGTTATTGTGACTCATATGTAATTTTGTTTTAGACACATTTTTACCATCGTTTCCGGGGATACAATTTCTAATTTGTTTATTCAGTCGTCAGATATTAATCTGACGAAGAATTAAAAATGAGAATACATTAGATATTAAAATATAAATGAAATACCTATACAGACAATTTATAAATTGAAGTAAGTGTTATTTATTGTAAAAATGAACACTTATAAACGAAGGTTAATTTAATTAAAAGATTTAAAATGCGATACAAATTGAAAACGTGGCGTGAATGATTTGTAGACCAGCAACATAAATGCTCGTGCTTTAATCAATCGAAATATCGTGAAATGATTTAAAAATTTCACTATTTTGGTGTCATGCATCCCATTAGACTAGAAATCTGTAATTTGCTTTTGGGTTGGGAAAGCATGAACTGCGATAGTATTATTTTCACAATAACAGCGCACTATGACAATTCATGCATTAATTCTCAGCAAATTTTTCTACCCACGAGTGGAGCAGAAATTTAAAACCGACTTAATTTCTGTTGTATCTTCTAATACCAATCACCGGAAAAGATAAAATTCTCCTTTAGGATAAAAAGCAGAAGATTTTGGATCGCTAGTTCTACAAGAATGGTCTGTGGTACGTAAAGAGCTTGTCGTAAATCACTTTCACCCAAACTGACGAAGAGACATCGTGATTGTCTACAGCCGAAATAAAAGGATTTCTTTGTATAAGTCATCCAAGCTCCTCCAAGTGATGTGTACTTACATAGCACATCATGGAGTCTACGATAAGAAATGAGACTTTCCTATTTCACATTTATTTATTAAATTCCCATATAAAAAGCAATGAGGTTTTTCATTTGATTCATCCTCTTAGTGAGCTGAGTACAAAGGTATATGTGTATTTTCCATTCATAAACCCAAGTTAGCAGGATCGCACACTTAATTGCCAATATAATCAATATAATCTAATGTTGTATCGATGCTGAAAAACATTGGACTAAAAAGTGCTTGAAAGTGGTATAAATGGCTTGGATTCACAAAAAACTAATGCTTTATTTTGCAAAATTCAAAGCAACATAAAGGGAACTCATGGATAAGATGGTAAAGAAATCCCTAAAACCAAACAGAGAATGAGAAACTGGATTCCATACCTGAGAGAAAGATGCTAAATTTTGTAATTTATACCCACGTGACCTTACCTGATAAAGCCTTGGATCCGGCAAGAAGCGCACCAGACTGGTGCTCGTGCTGAACGCAGACGAACGCAGGTCCAGCAGCGTTCGCTCGATGGAAGCCACCAGGCGCACCAGCGACACCAGCGACAGAACGCGCGCGTTTTCCTTAATGGCCTGCGTATCGTAGACAGCCAACCCGTTGAGCAGGTTGAGCAGCACGATGGCGATGAGGAACACGAAGACCACGAACACCACGTGGCTGGTGCCGGGCACCACGCTGAAGGGCAGCGACGCGATGCTCAGCTCGCCGGCGAACATGGCGATTGTCTTCACCATGGAGAGGAACGGGTCGTGGAAGAAGTTCACCTCCTCGGAGTCCAGCTTGAACTTGAAGAACAGCGTGTGGAAGCACAGCGCGAAGGCGATAATCAGGAGGAAGTACCACGTCATGAAGGTGAGAAATGTGGAAGTCACCTTCTTCAGCATCTCTAAGTGAATAGAGCAGGTAGGCAATCGTCCGGATATCAGAACCAGATCGACCCACGATATAAGAATAGCAATGGCGCAAAGATGCTTGTACACAGCATCGTCAATCCAGTGGTGAGTGATAACGATACCGGTGACGGTAATGACTAGGAGACTCATATAGTTGGATGTAATCCGAAAGTACTGCAGTCGCAACATGAACATTTGGAATATCTCATTGATGATGTAGCCGAAGAAAAAGATCACCACCAGCAGCCAAGCTTTCATGGCGTGCTTGCTGTCGTCCTGGAAGAAGGAGGATAACTTATTGCCAAAGTCGTTGGCGGCGGCGGTGTCGGTGTCGTTGGCGGCGTCGGAGTCGTTGGCGGGGGCGGTGCCGTTTGCAGCGAGCTCCGTCGGGGGCGTGGGCGGGGGCGGGGCCTCGCGGGCGGGGCCGGGCGGCGCGGCCTCGTTGAGGAGGATGAAGGCGGTGAGCGCGATGACGAAGACGGTGTAGAAGATGATGTTCATGTAGAAGAACATGCGCACGCGCGTCCACTTGAGGTAGAGGTAGCTGGAGAGCACCGGGTGCTGCAGCAGGCGCCGCAGGTGCGGCTGCGTCATGCACAGCAGCGGCTCCATCTCGGTGGCGGTGGCGGTGGCGGTGGGGGTGGCGGGCGCGGCCGAGAACTCGGCCGCCTGCAGGAAGCCGTACTTGAAGATGAGCGTGTAGCAGCCCGTGCGCGAGGAGTAGTCGTTGCTGTCGACCTGCGGACGCGCGTTTGCCGTCACACACGTTGCACCGCGCCTTTGCGAGGGAGGGTAGTGTTTCTGAGCAAGGGAATGTCTTTCGTGCAGTACGTGTTACAGCTTGGAGCTGCCGCTGCTACTTGCCTTCTGGAACGCGAAATTCGGCACCGACCTAAACGTCGGCTTGCGGTATTTTATTCCTCGCAGATATCTCCCCAAGCATAAGAAATGTCCCAGCCACGACGTTTTGTAATTTTCGAAAAATCAGTGTTTTCAACAAAAATGAGGCCTGTACCATACTTTTAAACGTACTCTCTTTACTTATCAAACAATGCAATTAAAACAAAGCAATGGAAACTTTTTTGAAATTTTTTTGAATAACTCAGGGCTACATACAAAGTACCCACAAAATTAAAATATCAGTTTGAAATTCAAGAGGTCGCGATATCACCCAAATCGAATGGGAAATATCTATTTTGAAGAAAATCGACTGAACTGTTTAACTGCTAGCTTTTGTTCAGAGCTGGACAGATGTTTTTCCGTCAAAATGTTTCAGTATCATGAACCCACAATACATGAATTCTGCCTACGCCTCGTGCTAAAGGATTTCTTCTAAATTTAGCAACTAGGTTTATCCACTTTTTCTATACTAGAGCCCTGTAGTAAGAGATTTTCTGCTGAAAATTCGCCGTTTTTCTCCCAGCATTACATAACTTTCTCTCTACTGCGTAAGCAGCAACAAAGAAGTGAGTATCCGTTTCAAATTGATTAGTGACCTCAACAACATCGAAAAAAACTTCATGTTGTTATCCCATGATTTATGGTTTCGGCGCCAGTGTATTCGGGCGGATATATTGAATGCGGCCGCCGGTGCGGCAGTGCTGTCGTTCGGGCAGCGCGGCGGTGTTCTCAGCCAGAGCAGCAGGTATCGGAGTCCACTAGGCGGACACTCGAGGGCTCTGCCGGCGCGGCGGCCCGTCGCGCTCCAAGGGCCCGCGGTCCGGGATTCAACCCCAGGCACAGGGCCCGCTCGCCGGGGGGGAACGCTCTCGGCTGCCCGCGGAGCGTCGGCGTGTGCTGAGAGTATTAGCTGGTGAACCAGCAGTGGATTTATGTGGGGACGTTGGCGTGGTGATCTGGGGTTGTTGGAGTTGGACGTTTCTTGCGGGGGGGGGTGACGACCACGGCTTCAGTCGTGATGATTTCGCTCGGCGGGGACCACTCAGCAAGATATTGGCCTATCGGTTGCCTGGAAAGACTAGGTTATTTTTCTTTGTTGTATTTATAAATCTTAAAGTTCCGATAAAACGCAGTTAAACTGAAAGTCTTTACCATATTTAACAATAAGTTCTTTAATTGAATGATGTCTCGAAGCGTACAAATGATTGAATTGTTCATTGAACCCCATTTTCATTATACCCAAAGTAATTTAAAATAAATTCTAATAGCGCCTGTCTTTTTTCTTTAACAAAACTGAAATCACACCTTGGAAATCTCAATGAATTTGTTTAGCATATTTACTTTCCCCCGTTCTAGAAAGAAGTTGTGTACCATATGAGACCACCATTAAGGATCTTGTATCGATTATTCCCTTCCTCCAAATGCGGACCGTCTTTCATTGTAACTACCTCAAAAAAACTTCCACTTCTCCCAATGCTAATTTTAACGTTTCTGGCAAGAAAGCTCAAAAGAGGACTAGGGCATTGAAATGGGTCAATTAGCTTTCGAATTATGAGCAAATTGATTTTCAGATGATATTTCATATGACGCATTACCTACATAGAATCTACCTATATAAGAGTGTTTCATATGGATGTAATTGCTTGCAGAATGAGATATTCGCTTGTTAATATTTGTTTAGCGAAATATGACATACATGTAATCTCTCGAAGAATTTTGAAGCTACCTATGTTGACTATTCACTGCGGTATTCGTTATTAAATTCTCATATTGCATTCTGCCAATTTAATATTCTATATTGAAATAAATTATTACTTGTGCAGAATTTCAATAATATTTGTATTAGTACCGCATAAAAGTTAGTTATGAAATATTTGCATATAAAATTTACTTTTTATTCAAATTGGTATGTAGACCATGCGTTAATTAAATAAATTCACACGAAACTTTGTATGAAAGGTTTTTACGTAAATTTCATATGTACCGGAAAACTCAATTAGTAACAGGCTTTCACTGTGACATTAACAAAACGTGTTTATTTAATTTATAAAGAAGTTCTTTCTGCTCAGCAAATGTTGGCCGGTAACCTACCTGGCATCAAGACGAGGAAATGCAAACCACAAGCGCCAAATTACAGTCACATGTGGGATCACATTCGAGTGTGATGGCAATCGGTATTCATAAGCTTCTGATCCACAGTTAAACCGTGCAGTCCACTGTATTAGTATTCGATCTTGCATATGGTTAAGATGGAAATGTGTAGTAACATGTGATAAACTCAATGAACCCATGAAACTAGTCACTGTTTAGAGAATCAAATAAGTCAGTAGAAAGGTACAGAATTTACCATTAAAACAAGACAACCTATTATTTTTGAAGTTAATTTCAGTCGAAAGATATTTACATTAACGCCATTTGTGTTTTTTGACAGTTATTTAAATTTCAATGTCCCGGATTCCTAGTTTTTGAACTTATTCTGCTCCTACGCTCATATTTCCAAAATATCGATGCATTTCATCGTTTCATGGGAGAAAAAATAACAATGGAAGTTATATGCGACTCATAAGAAATCGTATTGATTGTTAAAGCCTGCATCAGGGGTGGTCACGAACGTAAACGGCGGACAAGGGCAAGACATTTTCGTGGCCAATTGTCGGAGAGACGCGCGGACTTTGGCGGCGAGAGGTGACGCGACGACGTGAAAGAAGCGGCGTGAGATGCGTTTCTGCCTCTGGAACGCTTTCAGCTGAAACGTCTTAGGGTCACGGCGAATTTTTAGAAGTTTTACGTTGTCGCCCTTACGAAGGAACTTCGTAAGAAGAGGTCGTGACATGTAATAGTGCCCCGGAAAAGGACGAATTTTCGGCAGAAAAACTCTCATTGCCAGACCCTGAAGACACAAAAAAGGATTAAACCGGTTGCTATAAATAAAAAAGTTCTTCTAACAATTGGTGTAGTCAGAATCCATGTTTTGTGGGTTTTTCATATCGAAAAATCAATTGGCGACAAAAAATAAAGACCGAGTTTTGGAATGCCGTCATGGCAAAGAAACCACTTTTGCCATCTGATATACAACATTTTATTTGAGACTTCAATATAATAACAAATTGGCCCGTGTGATAAACAAAACTTAATGTTATTTTGCCTTTCAGAGGTTAAAACGTATTTTTTTATTTTTGTACTTTCAATTCGAAAAATACTTTTGACGTGTTTCCAGGTTAATTTTGAAAAACTATGTTGTTTTTTTTGGTTTTAAGTTCCCATAAGCATGTAGGCCATTAGCGGTCACTATTGCATTTGATGGAATGGTAACTGTGAAGATGACATGATATAGTGATGCAAAAGGACGAACACAAGTACCACCATGACCGAGGCGGGACTCAAACCCGTGATCCCTCGGTCCGGAATCGCTACGGCACTACTGCCTTCCGGACCGGCATCGGCCTTTTACGTCAGAGTACCCGCCACTTCATAGAAAATTTCGAATAATAAACTTCTTTGGAACAATAACGTGAATATTTCCGATGAGAACGCATTTATGCTATTTTTCTCTAGGGACCGGATCCTTATTTGCATAAATATTTTCGTGTGTAAATATATCATTACTAGTAGCGTGCAGAAGCAAAAATGTTACTAAACAAAACTACAGAAAATGGTTTTCCTAAAATGTATTAAGCACACTGCTCAAGAACCAAAAAGGAATTTTGAATGATTAATAAATAAAATATTGTAAAAAAACGAATCTTCAAAAAGTCAAACGTATCTACGAAAAGTCTTCACGAATACAACGAATGCAACAATTCTTTACAAACCAAGAATATCAAGTTTATTGCTTTTGTGTAACGCAACATGTGAGTAACAAATTTTTAATCGCTGGTGATATCTTCCGACCTTTGCTGAGTAACTTCATCTGTATCGTAATTAGTATTACAATGAATACGAGAATTCAGATGGTACGCACAATATGAAAATAGGTGGAATAGCACAATGAATTTTTTTTTCTTTCAGTTTTCAGTAAAAATAGAAACCATTTCATTGTTGTGGGTTATATTTCCGAGTTCCTGAATATCTAGTGAAACCATAGTTTCCATAGTTTCCATATGTTCTCTCACATGGCTAGTGGCATATAATTTTATCAATGTCTGAGCGTATTGGAAATTAGTAATGCAGTTTTTGTTACCATTGAATGCTTTTTGTCGTTATTACAAAAAAAACATTTCCCCCCTTTTAGCGTTTACAAAGTATTTACGCTTGAGAGTGGAGCGCGTTAAGCCCACCTGCTCGTCCAGAAACTCCTCGAGCACGTGCGCGGCCATGAGGTGCACGGGCGGCTGGCGGTTGTTGTTCTTGACCATCATGTTGGCGCCCCTGCGCAGCAGCGCCAGCACCACCTCCTTGCAGCCGTACTGCACGGCGTAGTGCAGCGGGGTGTCGCCGTTGCCGTCCTTGACGTTGACGTCGATGGCGTGCTGCACGCTCAGCAGCAGCTCGACGCAGCGCCGGCCGCGCTCGCTGGCCTCCGGGTGGTCGCTCTTCTGCACCGCCGCCATGTGCAGCGCCGTCACGTTCATGTAGCTCGCCTTCGAGATGTCCAGGCGCCCGTCCTGCAGCAGCACCTGCCATCCGCGCGCGACCGCCGTTAACCAGCGAGCCAGCGGAGAGAGCGCTTGCAACAGAAATTATGTTGGTAGCTCTGCTTGAAACTGTCATTGCGTATTCACCGCAGTCATAATAGATGCTGGAAGTTTTATTCCTTTCACTTGTTTACCAGTAATCCGCTTGCTAAGATTTAATTTTGTATTAGGATGCTCTAGATTCGGCTCAGTGTGGTTCACTGAACTTGGTAGTCCCGGAGTCTTTGGAACAGGTACCAATGTTTTGGTCGCCATCGTATGACTTTCCTGTGGGTGAAATGTGGGTTTCTCCCTGACGAAAGTCGCAGAATGGCGGTCGGAAAATTGGCACCCGTGACTAGGACGCGCCGTCTCCCGGAGAGACAACTAGTTACTGACTCCGGCCGTGGAAGCCGACGCTCTAGATGGCTGCGCAAATGCCCCCACTTCGCAGGCTGTGACGCCAATATTTTGAGGTCTTCTAGAGGTGCGTGAAACAGTCAGATTGATTGGTTGACATTTCCATGCACAACCACTATAGACATAAGTCGTGTTAGTGGGTGAATGTTTTATCCACCTACACGTCGGAATGCAGACGATTTTCGCCTCCAGCGGGGGTAATTAAATTTTCTACAACAAATTATTGAACATGGCACGCTCTCTAGTTTGAAATCTTGGTTAATTAGAGAAAACGTAAAAAAAATTGAAGTTTTAAAGCATATATAGACCAATAATTCCATTGTTGCGTTAACCAGATCACAATAACCGATTCAAAGCACGGCGTATTCGCCGGAGAGGCATTGAATTCGTTTGTTTACATTTTTTTCTAACACTTGGTTTATATTAAATCTTTATTCCCTACTTATCGTACTGAAACTCGAAATAAAAGGAATTATCACCTACAATAATTTAAAGTAACTTTTGGTTTGAGAACAAAACAAGGTCATGAACTGAACTTTTAATTTTACGTCCATAAGAAGAGATTTGAAACACACAACGTCCCCTCCGCAGCGAGAGCGTGCGCGTGGGCGAGCGAACGCACCTGCAGGGTGGCGTAGTTGCAGCAGTCGAGCACGAAGTGCACGAGCGGCGTGCCGTCCATCTTGGAGACGGCGGTGGGGTCGGCGCCCGCGTCCAGCAGCTCCTGCACAAAGTCCTCGCAGCCGTTGATGCGGCACGCCAGCTCCAGGCACGTGCAGTAGTAGGGGTCGTCGTACCAGTGGTTGGGGTTGACGAGGGCGCTGTCGTCGGCGTCGCGCGCCTGCAGGATCTCCTTGAAGAGGTCCAGGCGCCGGTGCTGCAGGGCGGCCAGCAGGCGCACGTGCGGGTCGGGCGACTCCAGGTCCTCGATCACCTGCCGCAGGAAGTCAAGGAATAATTGGAGGAGAGACTCCCCGTTCTCAATACAACAGTTTTCGTGCTGGCGAAGCTGATAAATGCATCTAAAGGCTGTTTCTCGTGGAAAAACTTCTCTCGCAACCAACGTGAAACAAACGAGAAGCTGCCGGAAACATTTCTTAATATGCAATAAACGTTTGACGCCATCATGTTTCAAAATCGTATATCTATGAATATTGTTTATTATAACAAATTTGCATGTGATAACTACCTGTGAAGAACACAATAACGTTTGAGTGCGTGTTGACCATATGCAACGCAATTTATTAGAGGTTAAAAGAAATATGATATTGTACGATTTAATTTCAAGTATTTCAACGGAATGTAAATACGTATTAAAACTGCTAAAATATTTAAAAACAATTTTATTTACACCAGAACATTGTCACAAATGTTTGTGAATAAATTTGATTTCAAAACTTTATTAATGGTAATTAACGAGACTTAGAGTCTGTAAAGCAGAAAATATACTTTTTTCAGGAGTCTTTCTTCCGACGTAATGTTCAACTATGAGTTCACGTATAGAGGATCTATAAAATGACCTTCCTAGCGGTCGGAAGTCAATTTATCTTCTTATAGTTTCTAGTGATTATTACAAAAATGAGGTCATTAGAAAATCAACAATTACATTGCACTTCATATTCCTAACGATGAGAACATTTATTTTGGAGTTGATAAACAGTTATTTTTTTGATAATTTCGTGAAAATCTGTAATGCAAATATATACAGTAAAATAAACAGTTGTTTAAACTTGCGTCCTCTGCTTTATTCATTCCATAGCTCATCAGCAGCATAGATAATTCTTTCCAAAAACGTTTGTTTTTTTACACACAACCTCTCATTGTTTAGTTTGATTGTATATTCTTCACATGCATACCATTACATACACATAATTATCACAAAAGTTCAGGTCGGAGGTATTTTAAATTAAAATTTTTAATGTAAAAAAGCAAGCGTTTGGAGCCAAATTTTGAGAACTAAAAAATGTTTTAATTAGAGCATCATATTAATAATAATGTTAATAATCTTATATTCAAGAATATGAAAGTTATAAAAATAATAATAATAGCATTTTTGACTAAATATATACATGTTTTTTAATGTGACATGAAAATATGTATCAAGTGTGATGATAATAAAAAAGTGGAATAAATAAGCTTCATTTTATTCTAGAAAGTTACAGATGGATATCGGATCACGGATTGAATCTCTAATGCCAGTAATCGTAGTGATATTTGATTTATCACTTACAAAAACTAAATTATTTACCTCTGTAAAACACGAATAAATGAACTTTTTCGCTTTTGTGGTATTTGTTTAAAATGAAAAACAATACTGAACTTTTCTAAACTTTTCCTACAATAATGTATAAACATATTAATTAAATTAATTCTCCTGCACAATAAGCTCAGAGGAATTTGTGAGCATGGTTTAATTTCCTAAAATCATAAACTCTACCTAGTTAAGTCGAATTGTCAGCTTAACCCCGCTAATTTTAGATAATTATGATTTGAGATAAACATAATAATAATATTAAAACAATTATTAAAAACAATAAATTAACATAAAAATCTTTGCATTGTCTGTTCGTTTATTGTAGAAGATTAGTTCAAATCATCACAGATTGACAGGATGTGTTCCACTACTCTCTACTGTAAAATTAAATTTTCATATTTTTAGCATATTTATTATGATAGAATTTCATATAAATATTTCGTGAGATATAATGTATACTAATAATGTGATATTGCCAACAGATTACGTTAATTATAGTTAGTACATTGTTTTGTCTTCAACAACTGATGATTCACATTTGATCTCCTATGATGAGAAAACCTTGTTGATGCAATTATTTATCACACCATCACGTGCCAAATGGTATCTAATCTGTCCGCTGAGAACATGTCCTGCTCTAATTGTGTGCTTGTGCATGTCCGTTTATCAGGAAGTTTCGCAGCTGTCTCACGCGTGAATCCACGTGAAAAAGGGTGTTGAACGAGAAGCGGGGATCAACGAGCGAATAATCTGGAATGGAGTTGAATCCAGTAACCTAGAGTGTGCAATCAAATTTTCTCTTAATTTTGATAAATTAATGCTGGTTGAACCAATGCAGAAATTTCGCATTTTCTTAATCGTGAAATTAAATTAATAATGGAAAATGGGCTCATATTAGAAATTTATATGAATACAGTGAAAAGTACTCATGCTCTCTTAGAAAAAATAAGCTCAATATTCCTGTGTTAAAATTGTTTTGATTATAAAAACATGACAGTTGTAAATAAACATGTCTTTTTCGAATGAAGGGGTGACATTAAACTTTTAATATTCCTTAATTTTTTCTTATTGTTTGATATAAGTTTAGTAAATTGATTCGTAACGTTTCTAAGCAATTGATATGTTTACCTGAATGTGTCATAAACATTTACTTCAAAGGAAACAAGTAGTTCTACAACAGCAAATACCTTCTTGCAATATTTCTCATTTTTTTAGTTTCAGATCGACGAAAATAAGAGCTGCATTGCTTTCTTAAGTGTCCTTTGATATTCAATCACCAATTGAAACAATAAAAGAGAAAAATGGAGCTGTTTAATGAAAGTAATATTGTTTAAGCATTGACTATTTTCACGCAAAAATGTAAAATAAACTATTATTTTCGAAAATTTGTTCCAGACTTTATTTCAAGATATATTTTTGAACAGATTTTGTTAAGAAAAAATAATTGTCTTGAATATGATCATTGTAGGATGTCGCCGATAAATCTAAATTTGGCAATTTTCGAAATTTCAGAGAAATTTACAGAAATGAGATATGCTCGTTTTTTTAAATGACATTTACGCTAACAGAGGAAAACGTTGATGTGAAACATTTCGAGTGATTTTTGAGAAATAATTTAAAATGTTCACGCATCAATTACATCCATTACTATCCAATACTATCCACTATTGAGAATATCGTGTGAAAGGTTACGCGTAACAAGGGTCAACCAATATCAGTTTTACTGTCGCCAATTTTACGCCGTAGTATTAAAATACTTTCTTTTTACTATTCAAATACGTAGTAAGTCGGAAAAGTAAAAAGAATGTGGTATATTTAGAGACTAGTATATCCTTCTTTAATTTAGCTTTGTTTTTCGGTAAATATGTCAACGTCAAGGTGCTTGAGGATGTCTAGCAGATGAAAGTTTGCTGAAATTTTCCGCGGATTGTTTTCGTCGATTGTTACAGGAAGAGGGGAAGTGAAATTCTATCTTTCAAAAAATTACCCTATATCTTGTAAGTGCTACCCTAGTCATAAAAGCGTATGGCTGTCTCCGATAGTTTCACAGCCCACATGTCTGGTAAATAAGATTACATAGACACCTAACAACACGTCAGCTAAAAATGTTTTATTATGCTTACCGATTTACAAATATTAGTTAGGAATGGATATTTTATGCGAATATATAGTTCAATTTTTAGAAGCTCGGCATGTCTTTACTTCCAAGCTAATATGAAATAAAGTAATGTCAATGAATTCATAAAGGAAAAGTTTAAAGAGGAAAAAAACTTGTGGAGAGTTGTTAGTGGAACTGTGAAGAGGCAAATTACCGTCCAAAAATCGTTGAGAATAGCTGAAGATTATACGAAAACGGAACCATTGAAATATTCACTAACTTGGAATGTGACCAAAAAATAAAATGTCTTTCACATACTTTAAAGACTTCAAAGAGCCTTAATGAAAATTTAAAGAAACTCGAACATCGCACTTGATCATAACTGCGTAACGAAAATAATTTACAGACCATATGCTGAACGGTCGAGTTAAAAGAGCTTCTCTGATAGCGTGGTGAATTAACCCATTTACCCATTCTCGGTAAAACGGCATGCACAATTATACCATCCAAAAATCTACTTGCCTACATAAAGATAAAATGAATAAGACAATTATATGAGTAAAGATGAACACTTTTACCTGAGGAGGCAAGAACTCTTTGAGATCAAAGAAGCGTTTCAGAATGAACTCCCGCGTGGTTTTCCCGAAGTTGGGCTGAAGGACGTCGAGGTTCAGCTTGTGCTTCGATTGCTTCAGCATGACTTGCACGCGGTCCTCTTGGTACAGCTCCACTGCGTACATGATGGGAGTCATTCCAAAGCAGTCCGGCCTGTTCACCTGGACATCCATCCTGTTGAGCACGTGTTCGATGCACCGTAGAAGCTTCTCCGTATTGCGCACTTTGCCTTGAAAACAAAATATTCAGATGTTAGAAGTAGTTAGTAAATATATGTAATTAAAAATGTAGGTAGAGTACCCGCCTAACACGCTGACGCCTTCCCGGCCGGACCGCTCCATGCCGTCCGATCCCGGGCCGGCCCCTGCCGACGGGTGACGCGACACCCCATTCGACCCTATCCCGCGGTTGATAGTCGGCCCCCAGACTGGTCGGCTGGTTCAACCACTCACAATCGGCCCCACCCGTGTGTAAACCCGAGCTCCGACCACCCCTGGGCAGAGCGGCCCTGAGGAAGACCACGACAAGATGGTGGAAACGTCGGTGCTACTACCTTCGTCGAGGACATGCAATCATTCGGACCATAGACCATATTTTTTTTAATTATGTAGAATGTAGCAAACCATGTGGGTCTGTATGTTAGGTTTAATGTCGGATTATGACTAATCCACAAATTAGTCAGATAATGTAACAATCTTCAAATTATGCGGTAAAACCTCCAAGTAGGAGTGATTGTGAAGCATAGTACCGAGTTGCGTCGGATGAAGGTTACATTAGCCAAAATGCAGTTGCTAAGTCAGGTACGATGACGAGGAATTATGTGTTAAACAGAAATCCTATACAAACTGCTGCTGGAAAGCATCTAAAGCTAGTGAGAGACAAATAGTGTTGTCTTGATTTCCACTGTATCAATCGTAAATTTCTACTTACAAAATTTTACCTGAACCTAACCTCACCTAATCGCATACCTCAGTAAACTTCGCTCTACATTCCCGAGTTGGCAGAACAATACTCCGTACCGAAGTTCTTCCTGATTTACATAAAACATCCTTGAGTCTATGCCAACACACTTCTATTTTCTGAAATGCTTCTCGCAAACACACAATATACCTCTTTCAGGGCCAATATTGCCCTTGGTAGCGAAAAATTGGTTTACAGGAAAAGCGTCCGTCCCTATGTCTGTCCGTCATTTCGCCTGTCTGTCTGTATGTTTGTCTGCCAGTCTCAGAATTACGCCAGCGCCTAAACAGTAAACTGGAGTTTTTCCAAATCCGAGGAATCTGGCTATTGTTGCGACATTCTTGATTTGATCACTTATTATAATTATATATGTATTTATTCAATCACAAAATACATTCAGCATGTAAATGATACGGTAGCAAAATGTAAAAGTAAACTGTAGAAACATCAAAATTACTCAAACAACTTAGTAAGGTTAACAAATGATCTCCATCAACAACTCGGTCGTATCCTATTCACTACGTGCTTAATTAATGTACCCAAAATACTTTTTTAATGTATAAACAAAATGTGCAAAATATATAAACACTTTATAGTTCACGCTTGCAGTAAATATGCAACAAATTGTAGGATGAAGGTCGAAACGATGCGTTCACCGGTATTCTTACAACTTCACTCACCCCCTGGCTAATGTGCGGATTAAACGGCTAAGTCATAAATGAGCCACATTTCATAGCCTGTATATGGCACGTTTAGAATGATTCGTTTTTGTCTTATAGTATGAGATTAACCCTCAATAGATCCTTGTAAAAATTGGGAATAAGCGACGCCTATTAAAATACAAAATATTTTATTTCCCATTGATAATCCATCATGAGTCATTCAGTAGTCGTGACAAGAGTATATAACATTACTAGATGATCCTGAAAACAGTACGAAGTGAAGTGGACAATATCTCTTTCGAGAGGTACTTTATTTCTGAAGGACCCTCTTGTCTCTCAAACGTTTTGGGCCTAAGTGGCACTTCTCCTAAACTATTATTTACTATTATTTGTGATAATTGCCGATAAATTGTTGACCTACCTGTAGTTTTCAGACACTAAATATAAGGACTAGTAACGTTGATTAAACTCGTTATTGGAAAAAGTGTAGACACGTGATGTTGATTGGCGAAAGTAATGTTCTGTTGCGGGCTTCATTTATTAGTTTGTTAAGTGTTTAATGACTTTCCTTTGCTGACCAAATATAACAATTTGTTGCGTATTTACTGAAAGCGTGAACTATAAAGAGTGAAGCAAATATTTGGAGTACATTAATAAAGCTTGTAGTGAATAGGATACGACCAAATTGTTGATGGAAATCATTTGTTAACCTTACTTAGTTGTTTGAGTAATTTTGATGTTTCTACTGTTTACTTTTACATTTTGCACATTATTCGTGCTACCGTATCATTTACACGATAAATGTATTTTGTGATTGAATAAATACATATATAATTAAAATAAGTGAAGTGATATAATTACATAATTAAAATCAAAAATGTCGCGACATCAACCAGACTCTTCGGGTTTGGTAAAACTCCAGTGAACTGTTTAAGCGCTATTTTTTACAAGTCTACGCTCTCACTTGTTTAAGCGCTGGCGTAATTCAGAGGCTGAGATAAACATACAGACAAACAGGGAGAATGACAGACAGACATAGATACGGAGGTTTTTCCCGTAAACCAACCTTTCGGTATCAAGGTCAAAACATGGATACTGTCCACACAACGTATTAGTATATAGTTGCTCTTATTGACAGGCAATTCGTAATTCACAGGTGTTTCACAGTTCACGTTAATGCCCTCCAAACACCAATATGTGATGAAGAGCGGACTTCCACGCACAGGCAAATCACTCACGTCGAACATCGTTGCATGAAATTTCCCACCATTTATTATGAAAAAGTGCTCGACATACCTTTCGTCATGCTCTAGGCGCATGTTCCCTGGGCGTTTGTAAACGTTGCTCCGAGACACAGAATACAGTGTCCAGGGAGAAATCGTCGAAACCGCTAAAATAAGCTCTTAAGAGTATTAGTAAACCCTGGTGAAGAAATAAAATGTTTCGAAACGTTGGCGCAACTAATTGTTTCTTTACCCAGACTGACCAATACCGTGAACCAACTTTACTATTGTATTTGTGAGTTGAAGTACTTAAAATGACTTCAAATGAAGTTTTTCGAAAACTCAAAAAGTTTCTGTTCAAAATTTCTGGAAAAAATTCAATTTTCAAATTTACAGTAGTGCTTAAGCGCCAGTTTGTTAAAAACGGCTCCATATTTTTCAAAGAAAATTGGCATTTAGTACGATGTTTTACAATTGTTTAATAATCGTAAAATAATATTTCCGAACTACAATTAGGAATTCGAAAAATGAAGATAATATCAATAAAATGTACTTCGGGCGGAGATAGATGGCAGCTGGTAAGAGTATATGGCAAGGCTAAGTAGCTAGCCGAGACCAAATGAAATAGAAAACTAATACGAGAAAGTCTGTGCCATTCTGTAGTATCACTATTTTATTTTTTTGTTAATTTTATTTCTAAAAAATGAATTAATATTGTTTGTAAATAATAAACCATTTACATGTTTCTGGAGTATTTATATGCTTCTGTAACGCACATTTTTTAAAGAAAATATTTATGAAAGCAACTTTTTACTGCTTATTGCGGCTCACACATTCGGAATATCTAAGACGTTTATACGAAAAAATGTGCTTAAAATTGTCTTAAGAGCTTACTTCGGCAGTTTCAGTAGCAAACGCGAGCGCGCCGCTGCCCGAGCGGGGTGGGGGGCGGGGGGGGGCGACTCACAGGGCATGCGGAAGAGCACGTGCAGGATGGTGCCGCCGTCGGCGAAGGTGGTGTTGACGTCGAAGTCGGGCTGCAGCAGCAGCAGCTCCAGCGCGACGAAGTTCTCGCTGCGCGCCGCCACGAGCGCGGGGGCGTCCAGGTTGGGGTCTGCGCCGGCGCGCAGCAGCGCACGCACGTACTCGTCGCGCGCGGCCTCGGAGCACGCGTGGCACAGCAGCGTCGTGCCCGCCGACGGGTAGTGCGCGTCCGGGCTCGCCCCCTACGCACGCATGCGAACAGCGTTAGTGTAACGCGTGCACACTTCATTAACGCACATGCCGGGAGACCCGTCGGGAGTACGCGTAAGCTCCCGCGGCTCGAATCCATAAATTCTCGGCTATCCGGGAGACTCGTCACTGCCCTGAGGAAGCCTGCCATATGTCAGGCGAAACGTCGGCCTCCCAGCCAACGACGTGGGGTCTCCCTGATAGCCGAGAATTTATAGACCCGTCGGGAGCTTAGAGCTCCTCCCGGTTGGAGAGGGGCTCCGCTGGTAGGAGATACCTGGTCAGGGAAAACCCCGCTGGCCAATGGAAGATCGACGCAAGATCTCGCTTTCCAGTGGACGAAAACCACTGGATACACAATACTTACTGGACCTTATAGGTGACGCACCCGGAATCACTAACAATCATGTACGTCTACATGTAATGTACGTGTACATGTAGAATGTATGTGTACATGTCAGATTGTGCGTATGCGTGGTATATATGTATACATGTGGTACGAGCGAGGATAAATTCTGCGTCCATATACTACCTAAGCGTTGCCAAACGGGAAGGAAGTGCGCAGTTCTTCTCCTCGGAACGAGCACTGCTGCAAGGGAAGCACGCGCAGAGATAACAGTGCATGGCGAGGAAGAATAGCGTCGCTGCTCTTGGCGTGACAACCCTCCATGAAGCCTTCGCGGACCTCGGCGCTCCGTAACCCATGCATGCAGGAAATCCATCGACTTTTTTACATAATGACACAAACCTCTTATTTAATTATTAATGAAATATCTATGTTTGAGGTTTCTCAGGGGTTCACATTCAAAATCATTATAATTCATAAGATTATTTGGTCTGATACAGAACTCACACTGTAAATGTTCTGATCTGCAGCGACGCCCAGACAAAACGAGGGACCTTAGGGAGTTGATCCACGGGCCTCTTATTTCAAAGAAATGTTCTCTCCCAATACTTAATCAGAAATGATCCATGCAACGGAAATTACTTATTACATTTCATTTGAATTTTAAGTAAATGAATTTTTTACTCTTTTTAAATGAAAAGAATATTTTCGAGGAAGTCTGAAATCTGTTGCTGGAACTGCCTCACGTCCTGGACTCCATTCTTCATCTGTTTATTTGCTACGACGTTGATTTGATTTAAAGATGCTCGAATATTATCTTTTATTCAACTCAGAAACGTAAATATGTATGCAACAAATGAAGTGTTTTACAAATAGACGTATCTGAGATGTTTGCAGAGAATAAATTAGGTACCTGTTGATGTTTAAAAAAAGATCTAAACGGCGTGTGTGACAATTGAGATGGTGTACTTAAGTGAAGTGCAATTGGGTGCATTTATACAAGATTAGAGTAGATCAAGATACTTTCAGGCGCGTTAATTTCTCTTCGTTGTCAATGCCAGTGCACAGAAAGGCTCGTTCATTTTTATCGCATGAATATCAGGACTCGTTTGACTTCGGTTCTCCAGGTCAATTAGATGGGAGCTCTGCGCTCTGTTCGTTCTTGAAGTTTGAAAACACATCATATATAACCATGTTGGTTATAATCAAGGTTTAATTACTTTTGGTTTAGCTCTGTAAGGTACTTCTGGTAAACAGCGAATTTCGCTGCGAAAGTACAATAACTTAGAATTCAAGTTAATTTGTATGTTAACCTTATTCATTAGTAGAATTATTTCAAGCTAGAAAAGTTGAAAACTAATGTCGTAATTGTGTACAAAGGGAATTTTAAAAAGTTACTGGATTCCAAAATCATCGAATGGTATAAAGTACCCATGGAGGCGTAGTCAAACACTGAGGATGACTGCACGTAAACTGAAGAGACTAAAATTAAGAGTACTGAAAGTTTGAATATTTTAAAAACAGTAAAACGTATTTGAAAAGTATCCTCTATTTAGAGATCATCGTCAGTAATGAACATATTTTAAGCAATCACCTAGACCCATGGTTTGCGATAACGTCAACTTCCTAGACCTCTACTACACGGTACCAAACGACCATTGACCTCAGTGATAGTTCTCGAGTAGTTACGGTGCGTAGGCACATAAAAGCTTTTACTAAACACACAATTACATTATAGACTAAATGAAATTAAAATGTTAAATACGTGTTCACTACTTACGAAAAATATTTAATATCTCACTTTTTTAGCAAGCAATGCAACTATCTTCGTTTCCATTTGCTCCGTTAGGCTCTACGACCGATTCAAACATCATAACCTCCATTAAGCGAACACATACATAAACTGCCATTTCTCTCTTCATTCATGAGTGACCTCCATAAAAAAGTTAAATCGTAATTTCTGTTGCGGTTTACGTTGCAGCAAGTTTCACTGTTTTATAAGATTCAAACATTCAGTACTCTAACTTTCAGTCTCTTCCGTTTATATGAAGTCATCATGCTGATGAGGCATAAAGCATTTGCTGTAAAGAAAGTGCACATTTGTTTTTAATGGACAGCGTCCTCAGGCTTTGACTACGCCTCCATGGGTACTTTATGCCATTCGAAGATTTTGGAATCCAGTAAGTTTATAAAATTCCCTTTTTACACAGTTAAGACATCAGTTTTTAACTTTTCTATCTTGAAATAATTGCTTTCCTTTCACCGCCAGCCGCATCCGTTCAGAAGAGAGCGTAGGCTTCCGCGGCCGGAGTCAGTATTTACTAGGCTGTCTGGGTGACGCCGCGTCCATGGCAAAGGTGTCGACGTTTCAGTCGCAATTCTGCGACCTTCCTCAGGGCGTAATGCCGACGTTTCGGTCGTTAATGCATTACGCCCTGAGGAAGGTCGCAGAATGGCGACCGAAACGTCGGCACCTTCGCCATGAACGCGGCGCCACCCGGACAGCCTAGTAAATACCGTCCAGACGTTCCGTGTGCAGGCCAGTTGCGAGCCGGGAGGGTTGAAGCGTCGGCCTCCGCGCTGTGCACCCACCTGCGAGAGCGTCTTGCGGAAGAAGTCCAGCTGGCGGCGGCGGTAGGCTCTGAAGAGCTGCAGCAGCAGCGGCGGCGCCCCGTCTGCCACTGTGTCTCCGATGCGCACCTCCAGCTGCGCCATCTGCGGCCGCACCTACGCGGGCATTCCCTTAGGCGGGCCCCTCCCGCGGAAGTACCTTGCTTACGTAAGAAGGGAATTTTAGCACGTTTTTAACGTCTTGCCGTTAGGCACTGTAAATCACGGGTTGGGATTTCATTAAGCTAAAATTCATAAAAACCTTTTGGGCGTTTGCCGACTATCTAACGCGCTACAACAAATGAAAGTCGTTGAGCCCAAAAAGAAGACCGATCATCACAGTTTCCTCTTAGATGTGCCCACGTGTGATTCACGTATGTGATGTTATTGTAGCTTGCTCCATAATTGATGCGTGATTGAATTTATTGGTGCTTGTGGAGACAATTTTGCGTTCTCCAATTTAGAAGAGGAATTTCATCCCGTTCAAGCTCAAAAAGAATTACTTACTAAAGGATACCAAGAACTATCAATTTAACTTAATATAATTGGATCCACGTGATTAGATCATTGCGTACACCAATACTGCAAAATCTAACGCGCTCACATGCAGTTTACCAGTCACGAAATTCATTATGAACATATTCCACTAAGTTATATATACTTCTCTGTGAGTGAAATAAAGCGCCGGATCAGACTGTAAAGTTGTTTATTGCAAATTTTAAATCAGTGACATGGCTCGTAGTGCTTAAGGTTAACACGTTACAAATGTGCTTGAACTCCGCAAGAACTAATTTCTATTCTGCTTCGAAAAGTCCATCGAACAGACAAGTTTTTGAGTACATTTTTGTTTCAAAGGATTTAGTCAAGATTCTTCGCTCCTTAGGTGTCAACGGATTGCGATCGACGTATGAGAGCATAGGTTGTGAAGTGAGTTAAGTGTATGGGTTGAACTTTGTGACTTCGAGTAAGCAGTCTGAATATTAATTTAAAGAAGATAAAAAGGAATGAAATTGTTAGTCCGATAAATTTACGAGAAAGATAATGTGAAACCATACAGGATATTCATTAAATTCTCTTCGGAATAAAACTTATGCAAGTATCATATCAGCAATTTTAAGTAATTACTTGATACTACATTATGTAAAAAAAAGATGAAATGTAGTCACTTAACAAAAAAGTTGTAAACAAATATTCATAATGGTGAGGGTTAATTGTAGTTTCTCGTCCATGGGTGAGTACTGATACTCATATTGGGAGAGAACTTTGCATGAGTTTCAGGAAATGTCTCGTTCATTGGTCAGTTCGGAGACAGCTGATCATCCACAATGCTTTTTTCCGTTTAAAGGTCGTGTGGACACGCAATGGGTTCATCCTACAGGGACTTCCCTTCCACATCTGAACCCAACCACCTGCTCTTTATCTAATGAGCTCTCCCCGTTCTGTTGTGACATCCATTACGGATAATTCTATTACAAAGATATGTGAGGAACTAGTAAAGTAGATAAGCGTTCTGAAAATGAAGCCGATAAAGTTCTTTGGAACGGCTTTTAATTTTAATTAATGTGTTTTGTAACTTTTTCAAAATTAGCAGGAAAGTAATCTTAGAGGTATTCGAACATTAAAGATCTCTTCATTATAAGCAAACATTCTAAAAGAATAATTCGATGAAATTCGTCCGTCCCTCACAATTGATCAGTTATCTCGTATCCTTATGTGAATAAACGTGTTTAACTTTTGTTAATTAGATGAAACTCGGTATAATCATTCCCATTCTTAACTCTGATTCTGTCAATATTTTGCGCAACGCCATTGGACTGACTGCAGTCCAGACTATGTTTTTCACAAAACTATAAAGAATTTTCAAGCAAAAGTTTAATCGAAAATTCATTTCCCTTTTGAGAATAACATTCCAAGAATTATCTTACATCTCTAGAACAAAGTATCATCAAGTGAAGATTTCGTAGGACTTTCTTAAGTGTTTTAATAATAGTTCTGTTATTTTCTGATAAACTTCCTTTCTTTGAATGCTGGTCAACAAGACACTTGTACTACCTGACAGAATGGTAGAGAAAAAATTTCTTTAATTATTGGCTGATGTTATATACGTTACAAATATATTGCATATCATTTGAATGTTTCACTTTCTCGAATACTACTCGTACATACGTCCTCTAGAAAATAATTATGAAGCTGCAGCGAAAAACAGGTTTCTCGGCAGAAAAATTGTACATATCTTATATAGAAAAACTGGATAATTATTGTCTCCATATGAAGTAAATTACTTCCTCCAACACGCTAGTAGTCAGAATTCTTGTGGGTTCTTTTTTCCGAAAAATTGGTTTATGGCAAAACTGTCTGCCCGTCTTTTCGCCTGGACGTCTGTTTTTAGATGTTTAAAAATTACACAAATATTATTTTATAGTTATATTATTCACGTCGTTAATATTTAGATTTTCTGAATTCCTAATGCATTATTGAATTTGTGAGTACAAGTGCTTCAATAATTTTTTATGAAGTTTCTCGAAACTCAAAAAGTTACCAGTGAAAATGAGCTCAAAGTTGCGCATTTTTAGAATGGCTCATTCAACAGTATTTTTATAAACAGCATCACAATTTTTCTTTAATCTGTAGGTAAGCGTAGTGTTAAATACATTGTATCACTCCATATACTACACATATTTTTGATTGATTATTTTGATTTTGCAATATCTACATTAAGGCATTTTTTAAAATATCTTTCACGTCTTACGTTTTTACGTTTCTGGCATTTTCTACACATTATTGCATTTGTAAATAGAAGTGTTGCGTTTCTGGCATTTTCTGTTCACATTGCATATGTAAACTGAAGATTGACAAAAACTCGAAACTTCTCGAAAATGAGCTGAAAATTGATCATTTCCTGAAACGTTTAAACGATATTTTCTCGAGAACGGCTCCAAATGTTTCAATTAAAATGCGCATATACAACTATGTTTCATTCTCCTGTAAGTTTCTTAATGATGTATTTCACTTTCACCATTACGAAACCGAAATATTAAGAAAATGTGAAAAAATGTATTTTTGGCGTTACTTGGTAGCAGCTGAGAATGCGGAACATTACCGAAAAGTTAGTTTTGACTAAAGAGATTAGAAATACTAACTAGTGCAAGAACGTCTGTTCCATTCAGTAGCAACCCTAGTTAATTAAATGTTTTAGGCTCATGATTTAAAATTCGTAAAATTCTCGTTTGAGTTAACATTAATTTTCATCAGAATTAATAAAATCAAACGGATTCCGTTGGTTCATGTTTGTTGCTTTAAAAATAATCTGGAGATTCCTCTGAGGAGCAATTTGTTCCTTAACGGAGTGGGAATGTGGAACCTCGCAAGTGAGGGCGGACCCTGCAAAAAGATTCGGAAGTTCCCACTCTGCCCTCGAAAATTGGAGAAATCAAGTGAAGACTGTCTGAACGTCTGCAGAGAAAGTTAACGGAGGGTTTAAGCGTCAGAAGTTGCATTCTGTGCCGAGCGCCTGCGAATGACGGTTTGAGGTCCTTTCTTCAGCTGCGGAGACTTTTCAAAAGTTCTCGAGTCTGTTCTAGACTCGAAGAAGAATCGATTGAAATAATTATCATTATTATTCTTGGCTGAGAGAAGAAAGAAAAGTTTACATCTATTTTCTAGATAACGTAAAAACAGTTGTTTTTGCCATTTTATATTAACAAGATAATATATAGTTATTCTTGTATTTTTTATTCTGATTACAAGACTTACGTGTTTGTCTTCTTGGTCGAAACATTTGCAAAAAATATACACACCATTTTTCTTCTTTTAACCTACAAAAATCTACCAACATAAAACCAGCTCCTCAGATACGTTTGTACATAGAAAGTTTTCTCACAAACATTTTCTTTGCAACTTACTTTCAGGCAGGAAGAGACTATCATTTTAAATAAAGAACTTAATTGGAGGGAAAACTATATTACTCGAGAAAACTTCTCAGGGCAGTGCCCTTTGGCTCAAAGAAGTGGTGTCAATATATCTCTGAATTAATCTAGTGAAAGTTAGAAGCACACTTTCTCTCATGAAGTAGTTATTCGGTCTTAAAAAAGGAGAGTTCGGTCTTAATATAGAAAGTTTCAACTAGAGAAATGCATTTTTGTTCTATTTTTCCTCAAAAGCACGAATTAATAATAAGCGGAAATTTGTCACTTAAGTTAAAGATTTTATTTCTGATCGAGTCGTTCT